AAACGTACTGAGTACTCACTACCACACACGTTCACAACCGCCCACACCCACAGCCGTATACACGCCCACACTTCCACACACACCATAACCCCACTCCATTCAACCCACACGCACATCATACACCATTCACGCCCACACCCACGCCCATGCACATCCACCCTAACCGAAAAACTTTAGACGGGTGCAACTCCCAACTCACAAAATCTCACTGGTGCATGGTCAAACCGTGAAAAGCTATGATTGGTTCAAATGACCACTCTCAAAATCTCATTGACGCATGGTCAAACTGCGGAAACCTATGATTGGTCCAAATGGCCATTCTCAAAATTTAATTGTCGAATAGCCAAACCGTGAAAACCTATGATTGGTCCAAATGGTCACTCTCAAAATCAAACTGGCGCGTAGCCAAAACGTGAAAACCTATGATTGGCCCAAATGGACACTCTTGGAATCTTATTGGTGTATAGCCGATCCGTGAAAACCTACGATTGGCTGAAAACATGTTACCTGAAATCTGATTGGCTGGCATGCAGATGAAGCAGACATCTGATTAGTTTGGGGGAGGGGGTGGGACTATCGAGTAATCCAATAGCTAAGATTAAGCTTTGTTGCAGGATCGATGATGTTATAGGTCAAAAAAACTTTTTTTCGTTCTGTGCGAACGAACGAAGTTACGAACATACGAACCTTGCTCGGTGTATGACCCTCCTTTTAGTAGAGGGAAAAAGCTGTCATAGACTCAAATTCCGAGATGCTACCTTCAGGAAGATATGAGGGTCCCAAAGATAAAAAATGGTCAGAAGTTTTCCCCTTGCAAAACTCTTTACTTCACTTTTCTCGAAGTGCAATCTTTTTATGACAATCAGAATCAAATCGGAGTGCGTGTGTTTTTTTTTCTTTCAAAAATATTGTTCCTAGAGCTCAGGAGAAGCAAACTACTGGAAGCATTGTCAAAAGCATGTTTTATTTAAATGGTAATTTTTTAAAAGCTGCCGAATTTTGTAGAAACAATATTTTGAAGAAAAAAAACGCATCTAACATTAACCAAAGGATTCATAAAAATAATATGAGTCCAATCGAACATGCCATGAGGGAGAAAAGAAGGCAAAATTTTGTTTTTTCCACATATATCTCGTTTTCTCTTTTGCTCATTTTGAATTATTACAAAATTATCATTTCTTGCGCATCAAATATGAATATAAAGAGTTGTTTCTAAAAAATATTCGTAAAATTAATAAATAAGATAAGCTCACAAGATTGTCACCTAAAAATAAATTCGTTTTTTTCAAGGTAGAAGTTCTTCAAACTGAGCTTTTTCAGAGCTTATATAGGTTGGCACAGTTCTAATTGTTACAGCACTTGATACAGGACACTTCAATACATCTTTAAAAATGAAAACTTTGGAATCAAGAAAAAAGTTTTTGAGTAACGAAAGAAGAAGCCCCTAAACCATTATTTCTTTCTTCGTAGTCATTATTCTATTATTCGACATCATTTTTCCTACAGGAGTTGACATTTTTCTGGGTCATTATGTGGTTTTATTGATTGAGATGATAATCTTTCATAGCAACATGTCTCGTATTAGGGCAATAGACCTTTTTGACTCGACCGTCATTTTTCTGCTTGAAACGATCATTTTTGCCAACACTCGAATAGTCGCTCAACCTTCAATCAAAATATAGCATCGTTGTTCTGTTTTTTACTTGTGTAGCTTGCTGTTAAAGTTATTCACAATATGCGTACAATGAAACAGTTGTCAATAGAAAAGGAAGTGTTACGAAAATATTTTGAAATTATTTATGAAGTTCATATGTTAGTCAATCGAATCTTATACATTTAAAATTTTTGAATCAAACTTGTTTCTTCATAGATTATCTAGGAAATTTTTGATACTATCTTCCATAGCATACGGTATATTCTGGATACTAGATACATACACTATGGCATTTGTGTATTGGTATGCTCTCGTCCTTGTTGAAAATAATGAAATTACTTCGAACCGTGTTATAATGTAATTAAAATCTAGAGACGATGTTTCATTATCTTTTCAATTTATTTAGGGTCTGTTCTTTTGCTGTTTTTTCGATACAAGCACTAGGACTTATCGGAATGAAGTAACACTCTCAATTACTAAGGTTCTTTTTTTTCTTCCGCTGTCTCGATTCTAGATCTTGGCGTATCGGCGCATCAATCTCAGCTGCTGAAACGTTTTTTAATTTATTTGATCGAAAATCATCTATCGACAATACATCTAATGAAGGACAAGAATTGGTAAGAGAACATGCAAGACGACTTATTTTGTTTCAATCGTGCACATGTCATCGATGTAATATGATTCATATAGGTTAGCTTTCATGGTGAAATAAAATTTGATCAAGTTAATTTTGTTTATCCAACTCGATCAACATCTATTATTCTTAACAGATTTCAATTGAATATCAAACCAAGTAAACGAGATAAATTTCGATTTAATCATTTTCTTAATATTTTATTCATTGATAAAGTCAACGTGTGGCTCTTGTTGGTATGTTGAATTAAAGTAGTTCTTTTAGATGTTAATTACGTGATATGATTCGTACAGGTGCTTCTGGACGTGGAAAATCAACAATAATTCAACTGTTAGAACGATTCTATGATGTTACTAGTGGTCAACTAGTTAGTATTTCTTTGCCTTAATGCTTAAGTAATTATGTAAAATTTATTCACTCAATCTAGCTGCTTGATGGTGTTGATATTCGACAACTGAACATTCAATGGGTTCGTTCTCATTTTGGCCTTGTCAGTCAAGAACCAATTTTGTTCGATCTAACAATTTCTGAAAATATAGCATATGGCTTAGAAAATGTTTCAATAGAAGATATTATCAATGCAGCAAGTAGAGCTAATATTCATCAATTTATTGACCAATTGCCTCAGATTAAACAATACAATATTACATAATGTATCTGTTACTATTGTATGATATTTATTCTAGACTTTTGAAACAAAAGTAGGATTGAAAGGTAGTTTTCTGTCAGGTGGTAAGAAACAGCGTATTGCTATTGCTCGAGTTCTTCTTCGTCAACCTAAAGTATTGTTATTAGATGAAGCTACAAGTGCTATGGATTCACACAATGAACAAGTGAATTTGTTTTTCTGCTCATCCACTAAAGTTTCATCTTCCTTGCTCAATTATAGATTGTAGAAGAAGCCCTTGAACAAGCTCAAACAGAAGATCCTAGTCGAATATCACTTATTATGGCTCATCATCTTTCAACTATTCGTTCATGTGATTTGATTTGTGTACTAGATAGAGGACATATAGTTGAAAGTGATACACATACAGAATTGACACAACGACATGGTGTTTATTATAAAATGGTTGCTCAAAACACTTTACAATAATCATTAGTGAACTATTTTAAAAGTGAAAATGCACTTCGTGAAACATTGAGAGAAACTTTGCCTAACAATATTTGCCGCATGATTTGTTTACATTCCTCGATCCGCTATACTAGTTTTATATTTGATAAGAAGTCGATTGGTTAATCGAGCTACAACATATTTCATCTATTGTTTTTTAGTTTATTAGTTATATTTGAAGA